CCCCCCCATTTTGCGGTCAAAGCAAGAAGCTTTATCCCGACCATAGCTATGTCGGTAACTGCGGGAATGGCAGGAAACCAGGGTGACATATAAAAGTGGGGCTTGGAAAAGGCCCCGCAGGGGGGGGGCTCCGTTCATACTTGCACGACTGTACAAATGGTCGACTGTCCATAGACTTGTGAGAATCGTGAGGGCACAACTGTACACGAATTCAGCTGTACAGAAAAACAACTGTGCAAAGTCACATCTGTTCATCCCTCGCAGGATCGGTCAGACAGTGTGGGTAAGGTAGAGATTAATCCCGTGTTGACTGCAATCGATATCAGTTATATTCCGATTGGAACTAAGAGATGGCAGTATGTGTCGCACAATGAGAGAATTGGCTATCGAACAAGCATCTGCGATTCTACCGGGTGTCCGTTTTTTATTTTTCTCATTTTTATTTCATAAATGCGTTAAAAAGGGTTAATTGGGGTATAAATGAGTGAAATCGGTAGAATTGGAATAAATGATCTTTATTCCATTATTATTTGCAATCATTAAAAATTAAATAATTGTACAAAACCAATTGAGAGACTGTCAAACGATCAATAAGAAATAGCAATGGGTGAAACATGCAAAGAGTACATGCTGCAGTGGTCTGNGTCATTAAAAATTAAATAATTGTCCAAAACCAATTGAGAGACTGTCAAACGATCAATAAGAAATAGCAATGGGTGAAACATGCAAAGAGTACATGCTGCAGTGGTCTGTTGCAATAACTTTGTACACAACTTATTCTGAATAAAATATTGTTTACATAATATCTACTATATTTGCATGTAACACACATCTAAGTATTGTAACAGACATTTCGAGCGGTCATCGATATTAAAAATGTTATAAGTAAGGGCAATTTTGCCCATGACCCTCCAGCAATAGATATTCGAAGACATCCCAATCATGATTGATCTCACTTTCAACAGTCCCATTCACGTCCTCTGGTTCTGAAAAAAAAGAAAGGTAAGCATTTAAAGGGTTAATAAGCAAATAAATGGAGTATATTATTGATGTACGTAAGAATCCTACGTGGTATCGTGAGTATTTTCTTTTCCTGGCGTTTTCGCTCAGAGCTAGATATTGCAGAATTTTGTCTCCTCGCTTTACGTTTTTTCTTGACTGAAATGGAGATAGGATATATTAGAAATATTATTCTCACAATAGTCCAGTCGGTGGGCCTGAAAAATCGTGTTTGTCGTCGACTTTACGAGATTAGTCACCGATTTTGATGATTTTTTTTTTAAATGCTCAGGAGAGCATATAAATGAAATATGGCCTAACGGCAAGGTGTGCTTTTTGTTTATAAACAAAATACGTATTGAATAGGCATCTTTTGATTGAAAAATCTCGGAAACTATTGAGAAGTTATCAAGACATATAGTGTAAGTTATTTAGAGAATTTAACGACGAACAAAATGGTTTTTTACTCATGTTTCTACGACCAATAGTTTGCGAGATATTAAAAATTGTTGTTTGGCGCGCGCTGCTGTGCGCGCGTTGCGTCATGAACAAATGGCTGTAAATCAGCCAAAAATTGATATTTTTTTATTTTTCTTTTTTTTTGAAATTTAGATAATTCTTATTATCTTCACATTTTTTTGAATTTTTTACAATCATTTTTAACAATTAATTTTCCAAAAACATTGAATTTTTACAAATTTCTTTAAACAAAATATTTTTGATGATAATACCGATTTTTTTGTTTGCGTATAGTTATGAAAAATATTGTACGTTCGAGAACTATACAAAAAAAATTATATTTATTTTTTTTTGTTGAAATAACCCGCGCATTTACTCTTGGTCTCTTCGCTGTAGGAGCGACAGAGACAACGTCATACGAGTTCTTGCGTGGGAAAGAGACGCACTCTTCACTCATTCAAACAAAATTTGAATTCTCATATCTACATTGTTTTTTTTAATTAAAAAAAATGCCAAATTAATTGTAGAA